AAACACATTTACGCTTGTGTAGATACCAATTTGCGGGCTCTGATTTAAGTGCTCCTTCGACGCGCCCACATGTCACCCAACAGCCGGCTAATTACGGCCGCCCTAATGACATCAAGAGCGTGGCCAGGTGGGAAGACATCAAAAATGCCGCATGAATATGTGAGCAGCAGCTCAAAAGCTCTAAAGTCGGGCATCTGTGTCTAGCCTCAGGTGCGGCTCCTGCTCATGCAACAAGTATGCGGCACAGAGGGGGGGTTGGGCTTGGGTGGACTGGCAGAATCTGCCGCAGTCTCAAATAAACAAATTCGAAACCGAAACTCAATGAGGCAAGTCGTAAATGTTAATGACTCCGTGCCACACAGCCCAACACACGACGAGCTGCAGTTCACAAAATGTTGCGCCTGCCGCCTGCTGTGGCAGCTGCCCCACAGCTGAGCAGCAAAATTATCTCTTCGTTTTCGTTTTCATTTTCATTTTATTCTTTATGGCCTCTGCATTTTTTACGCCGCCATTTTGCGGCTGCATGTTGCTGTGGCAAGGATGCGCCGGGATTTGTTTGTTTTATGTGAATACTCAAATTGCAGCATTTTGCACGGTCGGAAAAAACAAATGCAAATCTTGGCAACTAGAAAATGTGTACAGCTCTTAAGAATGTTGGGTAATTGGGGAAAAAGCTTTAAGAGCAGCAGAAAATGAAAATCTTCATCTAGAATTGAGCTTAGCTAAAGATTAGAATGGATTTCTCTATGAATTTGTTCATACATTAAAATCATAGTACCCAACTATTTTTAACAAAAAGAAAATTCTTTTAAATACATTTGTTACTATTATTGATTTTCTTAAATATTTTTTAATTATTAGAATATTCCCAGACTCACAACGAAGCCAATGAATACTGTATTATTTTCATTTTCTATATCTAAAGAATTTAATTTAAAGACAAGTAAGAGGTTCTAGTCGGGAGCTCCCGACTAGGGTATACCCTGAACCCTCTTCTTCCAACATCAAATGCATATATATATTCTATTTTAGAAGCTATATGTCAAGTTTGGTGACTCTAGCTCTTATTATTTACCAAAATTGACAAAAAAAAAAAGGATATCGATAAAGATTTTTATCGATTGCTTGGAAACGGAGTAAGTTATCGATTATCGGAAACAAACTCGATCTGCGCGGGAGCTAGGAGCACCTACATCTAAAATTTCAAGTCTCTAGCTCTCATAGGTTCTGAGATCCTTGCGTTCATACATACGGACGGACGGACGGACGGACTCGGATATTGATGCTAATCAAGAATATATATACTTTATGGGGTCGGAAAAGCTTCCTTCTGCCTGTTACATACATTTGGATTTTGCACAAATACAATATACCCTTTTACCCATTTTTAATGGGTTCAGGGTATAATTAGAACTTTCGATTTTGAGCAGCATTTTATTTTAGATAGCATACTTTTAAGAGCACTCGTATTATTAGTAGAGTTTTCAGTTAAATAAACCAATTTATAACATATATATAATCTATATATATAAAATGATAACCTATTCAAATTTCACTTGAACTCTAACAATTGCGTTTAATAGAAATGTTTTAACTATTTACAGCCCCATAACTAGCTAACAACTACCTATGACTGAGACTGTGGACTAGCTTTTCAAGCTTTTAGGCCCGCCATAAAATGCCAGCCCAAAGCCGGGAACAAATGTTTGACATGCAAGGCAACCGGAGCTCTCCGCTAATACCTGAGCCATAGATAATCATAATGCCATATATAGGTATTGTATCTGTAACTGGGACAGCACAGGCAGCAACAAGTCGTAAAATGTTTGATAGATAGAACTCCAACTAGACTGGCAATAAATAAAACTAATAACATGCCGAGGGCAATGTTAGTCGCAAGGAGGGGCGGGGGGCATTGGCAAACAGCATACGGTAGTCAGCTAAAACTGAGAGATCAAATGGAATAATACAGCAACAAGAAGAGTCGAGCGTGGAGGGGGCAGGGGAGAGAGAGAGTGCGGCAAGGGGTAGCGAATATAATCAGGACACTTTTATTGCGGCTGATAAATAAAGCGGCAATGTTAATTGGAAATTTAATATAGGGGTACAGAGAGAGAGAGAGAGAGAGAGGGAGAAAGAAAGAGAGAGGGAACGGGAGAGAGAGAGGGTGAGGAAGAGATTGCAATCTTTGACAAATTGCAATTTTGCATAACTCGTTCGCACTCCGCCTTTCTATCTCTCTCTTTTTCTCACTCTCTCCCCCTCTCTCCCCCTCTCTCCCCCTCTCCCTCTCCCTCTCTCGCTCACGCTAGCTGCTGCGGATTAGCCAGAGATTACGCATAGCTCTTTGACAACGGCTGGGAAATCCAGCAAGCGGCTTAGTTTTCCATGTTCTGTGTTTCTTTTTGTAAACTGATTTTCACAGTTTTTCGCAGTTTTGCCGCCGCTTTAAAATTAACCAAATATTTTCCGTGTTGATTTCGGGACATTTTCTTTGGGCATTTTGTGATTTATTGGTCATGCGATACGTTATTTTGTTGACAAATGAAAATTATGAGAACGCGTTTTCGTCGCGCCTCGTGACATGTTTTACCTCACTCCAATTTTTGAATATTCTTGTTGTTTGGGCGCTGTAAATGAATATTTTCTTGCTGCTTCTCGGTTGTAGCCTACTTTTTGGGGGCGCTTGCTGCCGACGTCCATTTGATACTTTTACCTCAACTCAAGGGCTATCGAATGTCTTTGCTAGTTGCGGCTTTTGCGGCTTTGGTCTTAAATCCTTTGATAGCAGCGATATTAAATGCGACATCAAAGACAAAAACGAGCCAAATGCAGCACTCAATTAAATGTGGGCTATCGAAATATTTGTGAGAATTGAATTTGAGAGCATTTGGGGCTAACAAGAATTTCTATTTGTGAAGAGGGGAAACGGAACAGTTCGAATAGATTACAATTTTGTCAATATATTTTTAACAAGCAAAAGGCCAAGTTCTGATTATTTCCTGTTCCACTTCGAACAACAATAAATATTTAAAATGAGATTCGAGCAGTTCTTTGTTAATTTTATACATTAACTTGATTTGCAAATATGTCTTTAAAAAGGATTTAACGCTTAAACATGCTTAATTATCTTTTAAACAAAATGAAAGAAAATATTGAATATCTTCAAATTTATATTTAGAAGCCGCAGCTTCTTAACTTAGCAAACATAACTTCAGGAAATAATTTACCTCATTTCCATTTGAATATGTTTAAAGCAAAATACTAAAAATTTATAAATAAAATAAGGAATAAATTTCTTTGAAATATTTTCTATACATTGATGAAATATCTATTCAAATATAATATAATTATTTTTTGCTTTTCAACTCTTTCATTCACTCAATTTAAAAAACCTATTATTTATTTTAATATTTTATATTCTATATAAAGACTGCTCACTTTAATATAGTATATATCTATATATATGTTTTTTCATATATAAAACATATCTTTGTTTTCAGTTAAACAACTCTTATTGCAATGCTTTTCAATGCTTGTCCACACTTTCTAATCAATTTGGGCTTTCATCTAATTTTGAGTGCCCTAAGGGCTTTGCTGCCACGCCTAGCCAATATTGTGGCTGGCAGAAAGTAATAAATATTAAATGCAATTTGATTGCGGTTTTGTTTTCAAATCAAAACAAACATGCCGAAAACGCTTCAAGGAAAACTGGAAAAACTATGCAACTTTCGAAGAACATCGAGTTTTCCTGCGGCATTTGCATTTGTCGCAAATGATGTGAACTTTTCTGTTACACATCTTCCCAAATGATTCACATAATGTTCCATGTCAAAGGCCCACGCAACAGGCAGCTATTTTCCTCTGACTGTCGTCAGGGGGCTTTGAGTAACCCCAAAAGTACATGTTTTTTTTTGTGTTCCATTTTTACGCATGAATTTCAATTTGGGCAAAGGTGAAGCGTTGCCAAAGCAGATGATTAATTGGCCGCATTTGTCAACCTGTGCGAAAAGCAGTTATGAAAAACGAATTTTCCAGCCTCCTAAATGTCCAAATGTCAATCTCTTTGACGGGCCATTTCTCGGAAAATTCGTCAGATTCATTATTGAATAATAAATGGAGCGAAATCAGCTAAGCACTCGGCTTACGGTAAGATTTTTAAATCAGTTTTGTAGGATTTATTATTGAACATTTTAACACTAAAACAAAGCTGTACAATATTAATTATTGTAAGAAATAAAATAAATAAATTATAAGAAAACAGAGTATAGAAAATGTGCAACAATTTTTAAATATATAAAAGAAAATCAATAAAATGACAACAAATTAGAGCACAATAAATGAAAATTTAAAAATAAAAAAATATATTATAAAAAAAAAGGGACTTAAGTTGGGCTTAAGTTCTAGTTACATGAAACTAACCGTGAATATTATTAACAATAGAACAATCCTGCTCAAAGTTTTGTTAAATTTCATTGAAGTTAATTTCCAACAAATTATTTTATATTTTCCTATATTTTATGAACAAATAAAAAATAATAATCCTGTTCAAATATATTAGTAATTTTTAACTTTTTGTCAATTTCAATAATTGTTCTACAAAATTGAAAAAAAAAAAATTAAACAAAATTGAAATAAAAATAATTAAATTTGTCCTTAACATAAAAAATATATTGAATATTTACGATTTCAAAAGTATTTTGGAATATAAAAAATTCCCAATTTATGAATTCAAATATTTTAGTAATAGAAATTTTACGAAAAATGTATAAAGCTCACTTACTATTTTAATATTTTTAAATTATCGAAATACTCAGCTTCCCTCTTATATGATTTTAATTAGTTGAGTGTATTTTCTAGAAATCTCTCACCAAAAAACTTCAACAAATATATCACACTTTACGCCTGATCAATAAATCAATTAGTGTCCGAATCACACGATTAAAACCAAACCAAACATTAAATGGAATTGGGCAAATACAATAAATACGAAAACTTACCCAGAGGAGTACGAGAATAATGTTCTAGCTAAACAAATAGCGACTGCGGCGAAATTTGAGCGCGAAAACGTTTTTTTTTTTTGAACGGAATTGTCTAATTTATGGAACTGCAAACAGAAATGAAATGCAATATTGTTGAGGAAACTGCGCTGGATGATCCGCTTCGGGTTCGATGCTGTCGCCGCCTGTTGACTGTGACTCGATGTGAACGCCAAGAAGTGAAATTGTTAACTCGATGTTGGCCATGGACGACGCTCGGCTTTATATACAAAATAGCAGACGAAGGCGGCGGCAGCGACGGCGACAGCGACGCCAGCAGCAGGAAGCAGGAACGGTGTTAGGCTAGGCGCAGAAGTGTGCGCCATTGGGATGGTAAAGGTGGTGGCAGGGGCAGGGGCAGGGGCAGTGGCTAAAGTTGGCTTAGGCGTGTGACTACATGATGTTGCCGCCCAGCTGCAACAATTGTTGCTGTTGCTGTTGCTGTTGTTGTTGTTGTTGTTGTCGTGTATCGTTGCCAACGCTGCGTATGAGCAACGTGCCGGATTATTCACCACACGCGCGCACAGCTTGATAACCATGCGTGTGTGGTGAGTATGAGAAACTCACCTGTTGATTGGCAAAACTTGTTGCATACTTGTCGGCGCTGCCTTCGGTGACGTCATGTTGCCAGCACTTTGATTTACGAGCAGCCGCTCTACGTGTGCCTGCCGATAAGCAAAACGAACTCGATTATTAATTTATTTCTGTTTTTTGTTTTCTTTTTTTTGCAGCACTTTTTCATCAATTAAGCAAAAAGATGCCGCTCTTTAATGCAGTCAATCAATTTCGAATGCAACATCATTAATTTGGCCAATAAAACTTGACACTCGCTTGCCAACAGGCAATTAAACTTGGCCGTTGTGTCAACTACGTGTGCTGCATGCGCAAAAAATTAAAAAAAAAAAACCGATCGGGACTGCATTTTGTATTTCTTTACTTGCTGGCCATAATGATATGCATTGGCTCCTGCACAAAGCCAAATAGTTGGACGGCAGTTTGTCTTGGCTTGAACAGCGTACGTTATTTGCATCAATTGCCGAGTTTGGCCAGCAAAAGAAAATATTTAGTTAGCAGAAAAAATTATAAAAAATTCTTAGAGTTTAAATACAGATAGAAATAGTTTTCTTAGATCTCGAGGTTGAATATTGGATAAGTGGCAAATATTTCCAACAAAATACAATTAATCAAGTGAAGAAATATGTTCGAAGATAAACGAGAAAAAGTATGTGAAAAATATACTTTAAGAAAAAATATTGACTTAAGCCTTTTCCACGAGCTCAAACATGGGAAATTTCTTATAGAAAATAAAATAAAATATAAAACATACAATATAAGACATGAAATATCTATTATAAAATAAAAAGTACTCAATATAAAAAAATATATAAAAATTAAAAGATCAAATTTAAAATATAAAATATATTATATAAAATATAATAAATATAAAATATCTCAAAAATAAACGACTTTCGGGATACCGATATTTATCGTTTAATAAGAAATCGGGAATATGTCGGGAAAAAGCGGAGCTTGGGGTATGAATATTATAAAATCAATCTTGACTGGCATGTTTTAAAAACAAATCAGAAAAATCTCAAGAAAACTTGGAAATCGGCATACAAGAACAAATAAAAATGTTGAATGAATGGCGATGTTTATTGTTTAAGAAACAATTCGGAAAAGTCTCAAGAAAAATGTTTAAAATTTTCTGCTTAACATACATATTAAGCTCAAAAATACAAGGAAGCAGCAGTAATTCCACAAAATGGAGGCGTAGTGTGGGATATATATTAAGTAATATAAGAATATTGCATCACTTGAGTCTTGACAAGGTAAACTAATTGATTTGAGATCTAAAAAGGCATTCACTATCCTATGCGCCCATTAAACTCAGAGATTATCTCAGTTAGAGCTATCAAATTTGGTACAAATGCAAATTGAAAGCATAGCAACTGTATGTGTGTGTGTGTGTGTGTTTTTGTGTGTGTGCTATATAACTAAGTGCTACTTCCGTTTGGGCCAATCTCAACTAAGTACAACAAAGAGTATTAGGGCTTTGCACCCAAAGTTGGACGCTCCGATAAGGCCACAAATATGAAGCGTTGCACGTGTAAAATAAAGCACAATGAATGGCTGGATTATGCCTGTGTGTGTGTGTGTGTGTGAACTTTTATGAGCATGCCAATCAATATTAGTGCGAATTAGTGTACGCCTGTTGCAGGCCGCACGGCAACAAATCCGCCAGCTACTGTGGATTATGCAAATGATATATATAAATATATATATTATATACAGATTTCTTTTATCAATGAAGCAGCAGCAGCTCACGTTGACTTCTAGTTTATTTATAACGCACACTTGCAGCGATAAGTTGTATACGATTCAGATAAATTATGTATATATATATATATAATAATAATTACAAAAATTTGAGTTTACAATACATGTTTACAGATGATTTCAGTTAATCACGCGAACAACTTTCATGGCCAGCCAAAAATGACCCAATCGAAGTGCAATTGTTGGCGTCGAGCCGAGCCCGTAGCTAATTGTATTGAATTGGGTAGATGTTTGTTGTTGTTGTTGTTGTTGTTGGATGTTCGTTGTTAGCTGGTTTAAAAACAGCTGACGGCATTGAAATAGCAGCGCCAATACATGCGGCCACCTCCATTGGCAACGTGATGATGGATGCGCCTGGCGCCGGGACCCGGGCCAGGTCCAGCTGCTGCTGCCGCTGAAGCTTTGCCGCCGTTTGTTGCATGTGCTGATGATGCTGCTGCTGTTGCTGATGATGCTGCAGGGCCAATGCCGCCGGCTCTTCTCTGAAAGCTCTTTGCCATTAACTGAAATTTTCTTATACCATTTTCCATGCTAATTGATATCTTTAATTGCATATTTTGGTTTCAATATCCAACTTACTGTTTCGCCAGTCGCGCGATTTATTTGATTTATATCTTTGAAATCATAATCCAACATCACGCCAGGATCATCATCGCTATACATGTGAAAGCTGTGGCTGCTCATCGGCATTGGGGTACCTGTTTTGTCCACAAAATCATAGCTCGCAAAAACTAGATATTTTTTGTCTCAAGTATGGCTCTGCTCACCTTCCTCCGTCGCCTGCAGCGGCTCCAGCGCATTCTTGTACTCGTTGGGCTTCAGTTGCATCATATTCTTGTTGGCATAGAAATCACCAATGCGATGACCCTCCCGCTCGTTCTCCAGCGCATGATGCAGCGCAACCATTAGGCGATCCAGCAATAAGGCCGCCCGCTTGGGCACAATCATCTGTGTGAAGTTATATAGTTCACATTTAGAGCGAAATTTTTACTGAGATTCAGTCTGTAGAGAACTTTATCGAAGAACATCGTTAGGTGTGGGATTTGGGGAAGATCGGAAAGGGGGTAGATGTAGAACTCTACCATGTCTACGAACTCTAGATATGCGAAAGAAATACTGTTCCAATCGAAATTACGCAGTTCTTTTAAAAAATGTGTGATCCTATACAAAATTAAATCTCTTCACAATATTTATTTTCAGATTAGTTTGACAATAAAGCAGGCAGAGAGACTCACCTTCAAGATTGTGTTATTAAATAAAATTCAAAGCGTATTTAAGTGAGCCTAATAAAAATATGCCAACAACATGTTTATGGATAATCAAACTAAGTTGAAAAAGATGAAATGCCATTCAATATGTGCATGGTAAATCAAACTGGCTAGAAAAAGCAGAAAGTTAAATAAATATAGGTAAAATGCTTGCCTTGGATCAAAATTTGATATAAAAACATTTCTAATACTATAATCTAATACTAAATACTATACTCAATATAGAACTTAAAAATAAAAGCGTATTAACAAATAATGTATTTTTAAATTCACAAACAAATCATAATAATTCTAATATATTTAAAACGACACTAAACCACAACTAAGACAACTTTTGAATAGTTTTCGACAATTTCAGCGGGCGTACCTTGCGTATGCGCAATTTCATTTACATCGCGTATACGCAATTTACTCAACGCCCACAATACATATTTTTTGACTTGACAGTTTTGTCAAGGTATTTTTCTTGTTGTTGTTTTTGTACACCATCTCAAACAATGTGACGTCAGCTGCGAGAACAGAATTTGGTGTAGGCGCAGTAGGGGCAGGGGCAGGGGCAGGGTAGGGTAGGGCTAGGTCCCTTTGCAATATCAAAGCAAGCAATTCACCTGCAGGGCAAGCAATCAAATGCAAGAAAATATACAATTACAAATTTTGTGTGTAAAACGAGACGCATTTTGGGCTTGACCAAAGCCCACGCAGTGCTTCAATCGCTGTCTGAGGGCATTTTAGAGGCAGGGCAGGGAAGGGACCGCTGGGAAGCATCACTCACCGGGTATTCATCATAGCTCATGTCAGCCGCATCGTTGGGCGCACTGAATATCTCTTCCGGCTGGCTAACGGTCGTCGCAGCAATAGCTCGCTTCTCCATTGAGGAGGCGACGGCGGCGGCGGCGGGCAGCAGCTGCTCATCGGTATCCATGTCCTTGCGCCTGTTGGCAGCGGCGCCCATCAATTGCCGGCACATGTGCAGCTCAAAGTTCTGCAGCAGCACGAGCAGTACAATCAGCAGGCCGGGCAAATAGTTAGCCCGACACCTGCTGCTCCTGTTGCCCCCGCTGCTCCGCTCCAGCAGCAGGCGGCGTTGGCGTCGCTGCTTTTGGCTCTCCAAGCGCCGCTGCAGCATGCTTTGATGCTTTGGTGCTGTTGCGGGACGAATTGGACGCTGGGAGTGACTTGACTAATTGCTGGCACTTCAGAGATTTTTGGCTGGATGCACTTTTCCGCTGGCCGTGCACACTTTGAAATTTCAACTGAAACGTTCGCTTTATGCGCTGCCCGCTTTTATAGACGATTTTTGCAGCAACTTCTATTTCTCTTTTTTTACACACATATTTTCTTCTTTTTTTACAATAATGAAACATTACAAACGCTTGTTAATCGTCTGCGAGGGCAAGTCAAGTGGACGCCGCGTGGGCGGTGGCTTCAACAGGGGCATCAGGGGCGGGGCAACAGTGAAATGCTCTTTTCAGGCTGTGATTTACGTTGGCTACGCTTTTGCTCCTTGTTGTTGTTGTAATTATTGAACATAAAAATGCCATGTTTGGCCTGCAGCAGTGTGTGATTAACACACACAAGGACACACGCACACACACACGCACACACACGCGCACACACACACCCACATTGATCCTGCGTGCTTTCATCTTTGGCTAATGAGCAAAAGTGCGCAACGCGGCAGGATGTCCTTTATGCCAAGGCTAAGTTGAAGGATTTGCATGTCTGCGGAACTGCACAAAGCCCTGCATTCATGAATTTGACCAGGCCCAAGGCAACCCACGCTTGGCACAAAAATAACCCATTTTTTAAGGCCCACATAAAGCGTAGCCAAATTTGAAGCACAACCAAACGCTTTGCCCGATCTCTAAGTGCGTCCATATATCACTTCTATAACATTTAGAGCACACACCTGCACAGCGGGCGGCTGTCGGCCAGTTCATTGGCCATAAAACCCTTGATGCGTTCCTTGACCCCGCAAAGCCATTCGTTTGCCCACACTTAGCTATATTAATTAAATCACAACATGCAAATCATAATTAAAACCCCAAACAAGCCCCACACCCTTCACAACAAAAAGCAACAAGTGTTACTTTTTAGCATGCGATTCTGCACCGTTTCGATCTATAAATGTTATTATAAACAACATACATATGCACCCTGGGGTGTCCTTTTTTAATACCCTGCACAAAAATGAACGAATAGAGTATCAATTAGTTGGCTTTTTAGCCTTGTAAGAAATTATTAAGTATAATGTTTTGTTTTATCAACCCTTTTGAATCATTTTTTTTTCTTAATAATGATATTTTTGTACAAATACTTGAAGTATTTGTTTTACTTTGATACGAAGCATTTGCCGATAAAGGCAAAGGATTAGGATATCTCGAATATCTCTGGACTAAACTATCATTGACGTCATTTCAATTTATGTTTAAAAAACAACAACAAATTGGCCACGCCCATCAGAGCGTGTGTCTCTTTTAGTCGCCTTCTACGACAAGCGGGGACATGCTGTGGAGGTATTCTGTTGCCCGCCAACCACACGGGTTAGAGTATGACGCAGTCGGTTGAACCCGACTGAAACTTAAACTTCTAAGTAATCAAAATAATATTAAAGTAAATACAAATCAGAAAGAAGTTTTTACTATGCCAGAGATAAACATTTTAAGTGCCATCCAAATCAACAAATTTCAAATTATAAGCAATATTTAACATTTATTGTAATTATTTTCGTTTTATAATATTTCAATATTCTCTTTATTATCATTTTATTTTGAAATGCTCTATTTCTTGCAGTGTAGACACTTTTACAGCATCCCTGACAGCTGTCAAATGGCGGTCCTGCGCAGTATCCAACACTGCTGTCAGCCCCGAAAAATGTAAAAACAACAGCGAGCGAGAGCGCGAAAGAAAGAGAGGCAGAGTAAGAGCGGGAGGGAGCGAGAGAGCGATGGCCGTGGCGTCTAGAGGGCGGCCTGGTAGCACACAGCATCCAGTGTTTGGTGGGCTGGCAGCCGAGGCGCCAGCAGCTGCTCCAGGTGAACGATTTCCGACAAAAATTGAAGACTCGCGTTGTCAGCTCTCGCTGCTGGATGGGCGGGGGGTGTGGTGGCTAACCAGGCGCAGTTGTGTGGAAAATGTTGTATTGAATGTGCACAAAAGCGTTGGCCATAAAATGTGGCACACAAACAATTAGCGTTAAATCAAAACAAATAAACAGAACGAATGGCACAACAAAATGTAAAGGACTTAAACCAATTGCGGCAGCTGCAAGTGTGAGCCGTGATAAACGTCAGGATTTGTTTCAATTAAAGGTGCTAAAATGCGTGCCTACTATACCACAAAGGATAACCGAAAATATGGCGATATGAGCTACGAGTAAGTATGTGTGTGCGTATATAAGTTGTGTGTGTGTGTGTGTGTATGGGTGTGCAGTCGCTTGTTTGCTTAAAGGACCAATTCGTATGCCATTTGCACGTCGAGTTTCCTCTGTTTGTTTATCCAGGCCAAAATGCAATTGATGCAAAAGCATCTACTGAAAAAAAATTGAAATACACACAAATCCCTGTCAAATGGGATTTCTTCTTAAGAGCATAAAGCTGACGAACGGAGGAAAGCAAAGCTATGATTGTCCTTACGAGCTTCTCACTCAACAAAATAAAAACGTAAAAACGTAACGCTTCTCGCAATTAATTAATAAGCCTTCGCTTTGTTTATCGCTTCTCACTTTGCCAAGAAGTCCTAGCTTCTAAAGAGAGAAGCGTTGCGAGGGCAGAGCAAAAGTATATACAAGTTCTAAAGCTTATCTAATAGCTTCACACTGTTCTTCGCCTTTGATTTGTCTACTCTCATGCATATTCATAGTGAAGGAAGAAGCGTTTAGCGAAGCAGCAGTAACCAAAGCCTACTCATCAGCTTTACTTGACGCTTCTCACTTTGAGAACACTCTGACAGCTGCCTTTAATTTGTTCGAGAGAGAAGCATTAAGAAAAGCTTCACTCGCTGTTATCTTATATACAAGTGTTATTTTATTTCTATTAGCTCTTCTAACCACATAGGCACACTTGCCACTGTTTGCAGCATTTCCTCACTTGCTTCTTTCTTCGCTTCTCGCTCTAAATTCAGCCATAAATTTGCAATGCATGCGCTTGAGCTTACTGCTGGTTGCACATACACAAGTCAGCTAGACTCTATATCTCACACTTTTCTTACAAAACTAAGTAAATAAATAATATAAAAAAAAAAAAAGAAAACATTGACAACGTCACGTCCTTGTGCCCATAAAAAGGACGCCTAAGACTTGTTCGTGCCTGGCGCACTAAGAGATGCTCCAGAGTGTGAGGACTGTGTGTGTGTATTTGTGTGTGTGTGTGTGTGTGTTGGTGCTGTCCTTTATGTTTTTTGTAGTTTTAATTAATGATAGTCAGCATAAAATATTACAAGCTATAGGCAGCTGCTTGAGACACGACTCCCCAAGGCAATGAACTCTGCCTGGTCGGCATTTAAGAGCTGTGCAAAGGTAGACAGATCTAGCTTTGGCTATACATGATTTAACGAATTTTATTTGCAGTTCTTTTTTTTGAAATTAATATATTTAAAATATGCTCAAGAACTGCATTGTGCACAAAGAAATGTTCCATTAAAGTGTTTATTTCTGGTTCAGCAATTCCGGCTGTGAATTTAATAGAAACCCACAAATTGAAAATTGGCTTCATTTGTTTTTCTTCAAATTTTTCTAAGAAGTTCAGTTTGAATAGTTCGCCGAATAAATTAATTTCAAATTTGTACAAAACAACAGCCCAAAACTAAACTTTCTAGTTAAAAGAATTACTTAAGATACTTTAATTATATGTAATTAATTACTTTATAAATTTTTAGTTTCTATGGGAAAAGTTTACTCGAAGGCAGATTTACTTAAACATAAATTATTTTTTAATATTAATATAAAAGATTATTTTTGTATGACAATAATATGAAATCAAAGATATAAAAAACCTATTTTTCAATTTTCAATAACTTTAGTTTGTTTCGAAAATATTTTGGAATATTTAGTTTATACTGTCAACTGTCAAAAATAAATAGGTACAAAACAAAAATGAAATAAAAAATCATTTTTATAAAATTTTTTGTAATCTTATATGTTTCCATCTAAGCTTTTATTTAAATAAATACTTTCTTTGGCAACTTTTGATATTCGAATAACGACGTTCGCAAAAACAAACTTTGAATAAAACTTTTTAAAAATATCAAAAAAAAATTTAATTAAAATTTGCCAACTATGCGATCTATATAATTACAGAAGCAAATATCTGCTGGATCCGAAGTATATGACAAAACGTGATCTACAGCATTATTATCGATACTATAATATGACCAAGAATCGTGGCCAATTCAAGAAGATTGTGATTATCATATTCTGCGTGTGCGTCTTCTCCTATCTGTTTGTGGACTACAATCTGAGGACGCAGCTGCTGCGACTGCGCGATCGCTTCGATTTTATATCGCGCATCGATTACGAGCACAATGTGAGCCAGGCATACTTTATAGACACGCCCGGCTGCCGGATGCCCTATTTCGAGGTGTTCGACGAGAACATAGCCCAGTTCATGTTCAATCCCACGTCATTCAAATGCCGCAAGCCCTTGACGCGCACGAGCGATGTGATCGCCGGCCAGCTGCTGCTCAACATGGACGCCAAGGAGCAGCTGAAATATTATAAGATCAAGGATCTGGCCAAGGTGAGCTGCAGCTATAGGGAAGTGCGCCGGCGGACGGACAACAAGAACGAGCTGCTGACGCCGGTGCCCATCAAGCTGGCCCCAACGATGCAACTGCCAAAGGATTTGGAATTTATGTGCATGGAATGCCAGAATCTGGCGGGTTCCATTATCTACAAAGATTGTCACTTCTTTGTCGTGGACAAGCCGGAGAAGAAAAGAAAGAAAATATTCAAGCGCACCAGCCTTGATAATTCAACTGCACAGGAGCCCCAAGATCGCCTCTCGGTGATGGTGCTGGGCATTGATAGCGTCTCGCACCTGAACTTCCATCGGCAAATGCGCCGCACGGCGGCCTATATACAGCAGAAGCTCTCGCATGTGGAATTCTGGGGCTACAACAAGGTGGGCG